TTTGCACAATAATGTACCTTTTCGACACTGACTATGTACTATATATATTCTAATCAACACTATACCCGCCTAGATTAGTTTTTAACTACTTGCGGGTTAGTGTAGTGTGTAATTTGTTTGTTTTTAACTTGTAATAAATTGAAATTGAATTGAAACTATAGTACTGTGTGCAAATGGGAAATGCGGAGTCAGGATAGAAGGGTTGCACAGTCTGTTCCTAATATATTTTACAAACTGAAAAAACTCCAAATTAAGAGGATTCAAGACACAGCTTCTATTGCCATTCGGAAATGTAAAACTAAAGGGAAACAGTATAAGGCAGGTGATTTAAAATCAAAAGCCTCCATTCAAAAACTAGTGCACCTTGATGAAGGATTTAGAGTCTTGAGAAATCTTAGAGGATCCCCTCCATATTTTGAGAAATTGAAAAAGGACTTGTTTGCTATGATAAGACAACTTGGAACACCAACATGGTTTTGCTCGTTTTCTGCAGCTGAGACTAGATGGCCACATTTACTTAGAATGTTAGGTCGAATTGTTGAAGGGAAGGACTACAGTGACCAAGAAATAACAGAGATGACATGGCAAAAAAAATCTGAGCTTATACAAAATGATCCAGTTACATGTGCCCGGCACTTTGATCACATGGTTCATTTGCTTATCAATAATTTTATTAAAGGTGAGCATAACCCTATTGGTGATATACATGATTTTTTTTTACAGGGTTGAATTTCAGCAACGCGGTTCTCCACACATACATGCATTATTTTGGGTTACAAATGCACCTGTATATGGTAAAAACTCACATTCAGAAGTAGCCTCCTTTGTTGAAAAATATGTTTCATGTAGTGATGATGTTCAAGACATTGAGGCAGATTTATTGAACTTGCAACTACATAGACATGCGAAAACATGTAAAAAAAATGGAAAAAACACTTGTAGATTCAACTTCCCCATACCTTTAGCTAAAGAAGACCTTGATGAAAAAGAGCTTAAGGAAATAAAAGCTAATTCTGCTCTGGTTGTCGATAAACTTGCTGGCATGAAGTATGGAAGACAGAAAAATTATCAACAATTTCTTGAAGAAATGCTATATAAAGGCTATACAATATACACTACAGCGTGACACTCTTTTTCTTAAGAGATCGCCATCTGAAATATGTGTTAATAGTTACAATGTTGATCTTTTGAAAGCTTGGAGAGCAAACATGGATATACAGTATGTATTAGATCCCTATGCATGTGCTGTTTATATTTTGTCATGCATAACAAAAGGGCAAAGAGGAATGAGCAAACTTTTAGAAAAAGCTAGTGAAGAAGCAAAATTAGGTAATAAAGCTTTGTTAAGTCAGATTAGACATATTGGGAACACATTTCTTAATTCTGTTGAAATAAGTGCTCAAGAGGCTGTTTATTTAGTGTTACAAATGGCTTTGCGCCGATCGTCGCGTAATGTTGTGTTCATTAATACATCAAACCCTGTAGAGAGAACGTTTTAACTGAAATCGAAAGAACAAATAAATGCACTGCCAGATAATTCTCAAAATATTGAGTCTGATAATTTGATTAAACGATATCAAAGGAGACCAAATCAGTTGAAACATGTATGCTTAGCAGAGTTTGCTGCTTCGTATAACTGTGTTCATCATAAATCAAACCAGTCAAACACCAAGAATAACAAGATTCAAAATGTCTTTTTAGCTGAATGTGATGATTTTTCTGAGAATGAAGCAATTGATCTTAACCAACAAGAATATCAGCTGAAGGGAGGATTAACACTTGTCAAAAGATCTACACCAAAAGTCATTCGCTCTGTAAGATTTAACAAAGTCAAGGATCCTGAAAATTATTATAGAGAGCAACTCATGCTCTACACTCCTTGGAGAAATGAACTCAAAGATCTTTTGGGAACATGTGAAAGTTATTTGCAGATGTATGAGTTATTAGAAGGTTTAATTTTGAAAAATATCCCTACCTCCTCCGCAGGCCATACAGCCTGTTCGCAGGTTGTAATTTGAAATTTGAGACGAAGACTTGTGTAGCTGTATGGCCTGCTGAATAACATGTCGATTACTTGGCTTTTGGTGTTGATTACTCGGTAGGGTCAAATTTCTTCAAAAATATGGCACATCATCTGCCAATCTTTAGCAATCCTGTTTTGCGGGTATTGTCTGAATACATCTTGGCAGTTATGGCGGATAAAAGCGACGAGGAGCTTCAAATAATGGAGGGTTTCACAAGCAGTAGCGACAGTGATATAGACGTCGTGAATATATCATTTGGCCAAATGGAATTAGGTATGTTTTGACCATATCCACAAACATTTAAATAGTTAAACTGTATGAAATACAAATATAAATGGAATAAATTGCGTGGATACACAACATGCTTGAGATACGACATGTTATTGATGCAAATTAACTAGAGTAATATTTATCTGCTTCTCTTTATAAATCAATGTACGCTTGTTTAATCCAGTATTCACTGTTTTTATGTGATACGATGATACGAAAAGCGGTCTATATAAGAAGTAGATAAAGATTTTAATATTGATCTGGTAATGTCTAATGATATAATAATTTGGCTTGTTTTTTATACCAGATCCTATCATGATATAGCCATTTTCTACCATGGCCCATAGCATTTTAGGTTTTTATATCAATTTTGTAATGGGAACAATGAATATTGTGATACTGTAAATATTAAAATTGCTACATGAAGTGTGCACTTAGCTAGCAGGCTGCCTACCGGTACCGTAAACCTCCGACTATAAGCCCCCCAAATATAAACCCACCACATATACTAACGCTCACCTCAATCCAAATATAAGCTCCCCCCCCCCGAATATAAGCCCCCCAAATACAAGTCTCTCGAATATAAGCACAGTAGCCCACTACGTTATTCAACATTGACATTGTCTTTTAAAGCAGAGAACGATATTTAAAAACATTGTCATTGTCTTTATAACTTACTATGTTAATAAAAGCGTGTTATTAGCCTAATACATGTTTATTTTCCTGTTTATGACTGACTTGTTTATGTCTGACTTGTTTATTACTAACACAAAAGATTGTCCATGTATTAGCCCCCCCCCCATATATAAGCCCCCCCGTATATAAGCCCCCCCTTGTATAAGCCCATCAAAAATCGCTTACGAAAGTATATAAGCCCAGGGCTTATAGTCTGAGGTTTACGGTATGCACTCCAATTGTATTTTGCACTAGTATATAAGTACAGGTTATATTCTTGTTATATTCGTACTACATAATATCTCTATCAAAACAAGAATTATTCAGCATTTCTAGCTTGTCTCTCTGCTTCTGGTAATGTCTGTATGAATGAAATTTGTTTGTATGAATGAAATGTGTCCCATATATATTGTTTATTTCTCTTTGCCTGTTTAGTCCTAGGGCAGAGTCGATTACATGACATTATTACTGTAACACATTTAAAGCTGTCAATGAGTGTGTTCAAATCAATGCCACTTTCAGTATACTCAATTAATTAGACACTTACATTTACGAATTATAATTTTTTGGCATAATAACACACAACATATTGGGAAATGGTTAATATGTCAAGTAAAAGAAGTAAAGCAACAACACTAAAGTAAACCGTTTGACATCTGATGTCATCTGTGGTCTATTAACACTGTACATATGCTCAGAATATGTGACCACAGAATGCCATGGTAGCACAGAATACCAGTTTATTGAATTCATACATACTATATTACTTTATTTTTGTGAAAGATCAAACAACATGACACACCAAATCCTGGTACGATTTGATAAACTGTTTCTTGTTTAAGGGACCGGTCATTATTTATGGAAGGGGGGGGGGGGCATATGTATAAATAAATGACTAG